AATAGATGTGAGCAAGCCTCGTGCTCACTTTCCTTGGTAGGGTGGTTACATGAATGAATGGGAGGGTTTGCAGAGGGCTTTGATATCAGAAGAAATGGGCCACGTGACCATAAGGGTTGGTTTACCCGTTTTAGAGGCGAGGAAAACTGAGCCCCTTTAGGGGAGCTTTTGGCCTCTAGGTGTCTGGCAGAGTTGTTTGGAAGTCCTGAGCACCCTTCCTTCTGGAAGAATTGAAGATGTGTGTCCCCACGGGTCAGCAGTGTGCTCTGAACCGAGGAGAGAAGCCTGTGGGCAGAGGACCCTGAGAGTGGATGGAAGCACCTCGGCCCTTCCTTGTGGGCCGGGTTTCCTGGCCCGTGGGAAGCCTGCAGTAGCAGAGGCGTCATCTTTTAATGCGCCACAGCTTGGGCCCTCTTCTCCTGAGCAGTCGGTCAGTGTCTGCTCTGGGATCCTGGTAACGCGGCGGCCGCCTCACTTGGCGAAGCTCCTTGTTTGTGGGACTGCTAATCTGGAGCCCAGGCCCAGGTGTGATGGGCAGCTTGGAATCGTCTCCAAGCCCACACAGGGCCAGCCACAGGAACCGTAAGAAGTGCGTTTGGGGTTCTGGGCAGAGCCTCACTTGGCAGGAACAGCACAGCTCACATTCTCACCTGCCTCTGCTGTGACCCTGTTGACAGACCCCTTGTCCCCTGGGGTGCTTGCCTTTTCATGTCGGGGGGGGGGGGCTCTATCCACCTGAGTTCCTGGGGAGTGTGGAGGACAGGGAGGATAAAGACAGTAGATGCCAAACCAGCTTGACCCCAGCAGCTTAGTTAAAATTAAAACTGCATTTAAAGTTAACTTCTGTGCCCTGGAGATTCTGAAGTTCTACATCTGGAGGAGGGCTGAGGTCTTTGGCTTTAACGAGTATCCCAGGTGATTCTGATGCACCTGCCAAGAACCCTGGACCTGTTAAGGCCCTGCCACTTCCAAGCTGTGTGGCTAGTGGCTTCCTCTAACCTTCCTCTTTTGGGATGGGGTAATATCGACGCCCACTGTTGACGATGGTTGTCAGGCTCTTCAGACGCTCACACAGTACTTACCATGTTCCAGGTCCCCTCTGTCAGATGGAGAAACTGAGGCACCAGTAGGTTAGATAACCCAGCTCGTGGGGGAGCCAGGATTCCAACCCAGGTAGTCTGAGTCCAGAGTCTGTTCTCCTAACCTCTAGGGGGCCAGTGACTCTCATAAGGACCCCGAAGGTCTCCCAGGCCCTTCCTGGTTATGCATGAGCTCAGAGCAATTTTCATAATAGTTCTGACACCTTTGCCTTTTTTACTGCCTTCTCGTGTGCACAGTGGCATTTTCAGAACATGCCATTCCGGTGGTTGATGTGCTGTGTATATTTGTGTGTGAAACGTTTCTCATTTGTAGTTTCTAATATGGTACGTACTAAAGCTGTGATCCACATGAGTGAACTTTTTGGGGACCTTAGTAATATTGGGAGTGAAGAGGGTCCTGAGACAAAAAGTTTGCCAGTCTCTTTGAGACTCTGTTGCCTTAAAGTCCAGCACCTGGCAATACCATTCCAGGGTAAGTAATTGGGGGAAGTTGGGGACTGTCCCAGGGCTCCCGAGGTGCATAGGAACTTCCATTGGTGAGAGCAGGTCCTGACCCTGTGGGCTGCTTCTGCAGATGGAGCTGCTGACGGTGCTCTTGGTGTGTGGTCAGCCAGCTGCCCATGCGGGGCTTCCATCCTCCACCTGCAGCACGTGCTGCACTTGGCCCTGACTGCAGAAGTGAGCAGATGCTGTTCGGTGGCAGGCCTCTCCCTGGACGGTGCTATTCTGCACATGCTGCTGTGGCCCGGCAGGTTCTCTGGAGGCCGTGGTAACCCCACACAACCTCTGTGATGTTGAAATCTTGCACTCGTATTTGTTTTAAGCAAGGCCTGTGCTGGCCCAGGCTTGGCCTGTGTTATCTCCTTGAATCTGCGAGGGAGGCGCTGTTGCTTGGCCCAGTTTGTGGATGAGGTGCTTGAGGCTCAGGGAGGTTCCAGTGGGTGAGGCCCACGGCTGCAGTGCAGGCTCTAGACTCGCTCTGGCTCTGTGTGACTGGAGCCTGTGAGCTCATGAGTCTTCATCGCGTTGCTCCTGGTCGTGGCAGGCCCGCGGGCTTGTGCTGGAACAGCAGTGTGCTGCACCCCACATTCTTCTCAGGCTGCCGTTCTCTGCTCCAGCTTCTAGAGCGAGGGTTTGGGCACAGCAGAGTGAGGCATAGACAGAGGCCAGTCTTGAATTTTGGCTTTGCTATTGCTGGCCACAACCAACCTAATCTTTCTGATCCGCCATCTGTGTATGGGACAGTTGCTGCCACCTTGTGTTCTTAACTCTGCAGGTGAAACTTGTGCTGTGGCTATTCAGAAGCCAGTGAGCTCCATTGTGACAGGACTTTCCTGAGGCGTTCTCTTTCCAAAAGACTGGCCCTGGACCAGCTGCTTCATGACTGCAGGAGGGACTGTGGGTCCTGGCCCTGGCCTGGCCTGCTGAAGGGGAGGCTGCAGGTGGGCTGGCCACCTGCAGGGTGATGGGTTGGCCATGCTGCTTAGAGGTTGGAACTAGTTCAGTCCTCAATGAATGACCAATACTGGTGATGCCTTTTTTGGATAGCTCTTCATTAGTAGGGTGACCACATAATTTGTTTTTTAAAGCAGGGTGTTTTTGAGCATGAACGGCATTACCATCAACAGGGCATAACGGAGGGTGGAGACCAGACTTTCCTGGCAAAAGGCAGGAATCTGCCTGTCAGTCTCCCCTTTCACCTTCCTACAGCCCTAGGACACGCCTTTCCCTCCCTGATCTGGTAGAGAAGCAGCCCTGGAGAGGGGACTTCTCTCTGTCACCGTGGTTCTTGCTTCCCAAGCACCTTGGCTGAGCCATAGCGTGGCTCCCGAGCTGAGTGCCCACAGAGGGGATGGTGAGGACCCTGGGACCCTTGTCTGCTGTGGTGCTGGAAGCTTTTGAAAACTAGCATCGCTGGTAATGCGAAGAGCCAAAACTGCAGCTATAGAATGCACGGCTAGAAAAGATAAAAAGCATGAAAATAGCCAAGCGCCATGACGTACACCTCCAATCCCAGTGACTCAGGAGGCTGAGCTGGAGGATCACTTGGCAAGTTCAAAGCCAGCCTCAGCAGCTTAGTGAGACCCTGTCACAGAATAAAAAACCACATGGGCTGGGGATGTAGCTCGGGGGTAGGGTGCTCGTCTAGTACAGGTGAGGTTCTGGGTTCAGGCCCAGCCCTGGGGAGAGGCATAAAGATGGAGAATCCTGCTAACGGAAAGGAAGGGCATGCCTGGTCCGTGCTTCCTCTTCTCTGTCCCAGCTTCCCTTCTGGGCTGGCAGTGACCCTTTTGTCACACAGATGGTGACCCTCTGGGCAGTGGCAGGGAGAAGACCACTGACACCAGCTCTCTGTCAGAGCAGGCGGCCTGTTGGGGCCAGTCGATTTCGTTTCCTCCTGACTGCCTGAGAGGCCAACTCAGTGATTCTTTTTCTGCTCCGATGAGGCAAACATATGACAGTTCGTTTTGGTCACGGAGAGGACTGCGTGGCGGGGAAACCTGGTGCTCTACATATAACAAGCGAGGACACAGGGGAGCCTGTGGTGTGGAAGCAGCAGCGCTCCTGCATGTGGGGTTGGTGTATTTCTGGTTCAGACAGAAATAGACGCCCACCAGAGGGCAGGGTGGCCTCGCACGCACTGGCAGGTGGCCTTCGGCCAAATTTAGTCTCCATTCCTACCGCCTGACGCACTCCTTCCTTCCTGCCGCTCCTCAGAGCTTTATCTAGTGCCCCTGTGGACGGTGATCTTGCTGTGGCTGTGCAGCGGCCGTCCCATGCCCTGTTGCTCATGGTTTGGGTGAAGGAGGCCCCTTGGTCTCCCTGGGGAGAGCGCGGGCGGAGCTGCAGGAGTGTCTCCCTCCACCCTGCCCCCCC